TACATGGCAAAGAGAAATTAAAGATGTTACTCGATTGAACTTAAAATAGGGAGATTATTCTGGATTATCCAGATGGGTTGAATGTAAGCACAATGGTCCTTCGAAGAGTTAGAGGAAGATGTTATGACTGAAGAGAGGTACAGAAAGATGCTACGATCTGGCTGGGAAGGTGGAGGAAGGGGACCATGAGAAAAGGAAGCCTCTGATGTGACAAAAAATACAAAGAAATTGATTCTCCCTCAGAGCCATCAGAAAGGAATTCAGCCCTGTTGACAACCTTGGTTTAAGTTCAGTAAGACCTGTGTCTGATTTCTGACTATAGAACTGTGTGATGATACATTTGTGTTGTTTAAGTCACTGAGTTTGTGGTAATGTACTGCCTCCAGCTTTCTGAGGTATTCACAAAAGCTAATACAGTCCTCGAGGAAATCAACCCTGAATGTTCACTGGAAGGACCAGTACTGAAGCTTCAGTATTTTGACCACCTGATGCAAAGAACCAACTCACTGAAAGAGAAGCTGATGCTAGGAAAGATTGAGGGCACGAGAAGGAGGTGACAGAGGGTGAGACGGTTGGATGGCATCACCGACTCAATGGACTTGAGTTTAAGCAAGCTCCAAGAGATTGTGAAGGACAGGGAAGCCTAGGGTACTGCAGTTCATGGGATCAAAAAGAGTCGGACTCAGCTCAGTGACTGAACAACAATAATACAACACCAAGCGTGTTTTTCTCTAGAAGATGTTTTCCTGTGAGTGAATCTCTTAATTTTAGTGTTTTCTGCATTTTGGTAGGCTGTTTCACAGTTTATCAAGTCCTTATTCCAAGAGGATTAAAAATATTATTTCACTGCTTCCTGAAATAATAAAGATCGGAGTGAAAATAAACAAAATAGAGACTAAAAAAATAGTAGAATATACCCATGAAACTAACGTCTGGTTTTCTGAAAAGACAGACCTTTAGCTGCTAAGTCACTTCAGTCGTGTCCGACTCTGTGCAACCCCATAGACAGCAGCCCACCAGGCTCCCCCATCCCTGGGATTCTCCAGGCAAGAATACTGGAGTGGGTTGCCATTTCCTTCTCCAAAACTTTAGCTAGACTCACCGAGAAAGAAAAAGGTGACTCCAATAGGTTAAATTAGAAATGAAAAGGAGAAGTTACAACTAATACCGCAGAAATATAAAGGATCATAAGACACTATTACAGATAACTATACATCAACAAATTAGACAAATAAATTCATACAAGACTGAAGTATGAAGAAACAGAAAATCTGAATAGGCTGACTACTAATAGGGAAATTGAAACAGTAAAGAAAAAACAAAATCTCCTCAAAAACAAAAGCCCAGGACTAGATGGCTTTACTGGCAAATTCCACAAATCATAAAAAAAATATTTAATATCCTTCTCAAACATTTCCTAAAAATCAAAGAGGAGGAAAATTTTCCAAACAAATTTTATGAAGCCTGCATTACCCTGATACCAAAACCTGACAAGTACACTACAAAAAAAGAAAATTATAGGCCAATATCCTTGATGAACATAGATGCAAAAATCCTCAGCAAAATATTAACAAGCTGAATTTAATTATACAGTAAAAGGATTATACACCATGATCAAGCAGGATTTATTCCAGGGATGCAAGGATGGCTTCATTGATTCTGCAAATCAACCAATGTGAGACATTTACAAAATGAAGGATAAAAATCATATGATCATCTCAACAGATGTGCAAAAACATTTGACAAAATTCAAAATCCATTTATGATGTTGATATCAACAAACTGGATACAGTAGGAATGCACCTCAACATATAAAGGCCATATACGACAAGCCCACAGCTAACACACTCAATGATGAAAAGCTGAAAACTCTTCTTCTAAGAGAAGAGTAAGACAAGGATGCCCACTCTTGCCACTTTTATTCAACAAAGTACTGGAAGTCATAGTCACAACAATGAGGCAAGAAAAAAATTTTTTTTAATAAATTCAATTCAAAAAGGAAGTAATAAAACTGATACTATTTGAAAATGACATAATACTATTAATATATAGAGAACCTTAAAGACTCTACACACACACAAAAAAACTGTTTCAACTAATGAATTCAGTAAAGTTTTAAGATAGAAAATCAATACACAGGGGCTTCCCTGGTGGCTCAGTGGTAGAGAATCCGCCTGCCAAAGCAGGAGATACAGGTTCTGCTGATCTGAGAACATCCCACATGGTGTAGGGCAACCAAGCCTATGTGTCACAACTACTGAGCCTGTGCTCTAGAGCCTAGGAGCCACGACTACTGAGCCCACATGATGCAGCTACTGAAGCCCACAAGCCCTAGAGCCCATGCTTGGCAACAAGAGAAGCTACCACAACGAGAAGCCCACAAATCACAACTGGAGTAGCCCCTGCTAACTAGAAAAAAAGCCCACCCAGCATTGGAGACCCAGTACAACCCAAAAATTCAATACACAAAAATACATTGTGGCTAGTAACAAACTATGAGAAAGAGGAATTAACAAAACAATCTCATTTACAACTGCCTCAAAAAGAATAAAATACCTAAGAATAAACTGAACCAAGGAAGTGAAAGACTTGTACTCTGAAAGCTGTAAGACACTGATGAAGGAAATTGAAGACAACACAAAAGGATGGAAGGATATGCATTATCGTCCTGCTATGAAGAGACCCAGGGCTGGGAAGGGGGCTGAGCAGCCTGGTGCCACACGGAAGGGTTAGCCTGTGCTGCAGGAATACATTCTAGCAGCGCATCCCTGTAACTAAGTGGTGCCATTGTTTTTTCTAATGGATCCAGCTGCCAGTGCAGGGAACATGGGTTTGATCCCCGGTCCGGGAAGATTCCACATGCCACAGAGCAACTAAGCCTATGTGCCACAACTACTGAGCCTGCACCCTAGGGCCCAGGCTACACAACAAGAGAGCAGCCCCCACTCTGCAGCTAGAGAAAGCCTGAGCACAGCCAAAAATAAACAAAATGAGACAAAACCCTACTGGCACTAAACTCAAATTTTTATATATTCAATTGTTTTTAAAATGCCAAACAAGCAGATTTTTAGCCATTTAGATCCTACTTATTTTGCATATCCTGTGAAATATACCCAACATCTGCTGGCCATTGATTAGGTTAATCTTTATGGTTGCAAGACCCCAAGCCACCATGACACCTGCCCTATGAAGCCCTTTCACCCAGGGACTCCAAACCATGCTGCTTAGTTGACATCAACTGGATACACGAGCTCCTGGAAGACACTTCTTTTCCCCCTCTGGATGGTGGTCACCATATCGCAACCTTTGATCATCCTCTCTCACACGACCTGTAAGGTCATTGTGTGTTACTGCCTCTTGTGGTCATGAGTTTTTCCTAGACAGTCCCCAAATCCCTCAAACCCCCCTACACCTGAGTGCCTGGCTCACCACGCTGTTCCCTCTACGTGGATGGTTCTGCATTTTTCAGCCTCATCATATCCTCAGGGAAGTCCCTCCCCTCCTAGCCTCTGTGGATCCCCTCCTCCACCAACGAATCTATTTACAACACAATGGGACCTCCTTGTTGGCTCAGAGGGTATTTACAACACACACTCACAGCTCACTGCACCTCTCCCTTGTTCCCTACGTGACATCCCATACTTGCAGTGCTTACACAGTTGCATCCGACTCTTTGTGACCCCATGGACTGTAGCCTGCCAGGCTCCTCTGTCTATGGGATTCTCCAGGCAAGAATACTGGAGTGGGTTGCCATTTTCCTCTTCCAGGGAATCTTACCGATCCAGGGATCGAACCCACATATCATGTGTCTCCTGCATTGCAGGCAGATTCTTCACCTACTGAGCCAACGGGGAAGCCCTTGTTCCATACCCCGTTGGATCAAACTGCAGTGGTAATTCTCTGGGACTAGTTTCCTAGGATGATCTGCTTACCATCTTCCCCTCCCGCTAGATTGTGACAGCAGGTTCCACAGCCACTTTTCTCCCCACTGTAACTGGCAGCCAGCCCAGTGCCTGGCATCCAGGAGACTCTCAATAAACACTTGTGTGTGGAAAGAACAAAGGAGCAAAACGACTCAGGGAGGATCACGTTGACATGGAATTTTCCAGGTTCTTATGAAAAAATACGATCTCTGCTACCCTGAGAAGTCAGTGTTTTTTGCTCTATCAGATTCAACCCCTATCAACACACTGGTTTTGGCCTTTTTGTTTATTTGTGAGTTTCTTATGGCTCCCAATTCATGAACAAGCTGACTCTGGGTCTCCTGGGCCAGCCCACAACTAAAACAATCTTCCCAAATCACAAATCTCATCACATCAGCCCCAATCCAGTTGGTCTGGTTTTTTAAGAGAATCATTTTATCATGCTTTAGGAATTTGTTGAGTTTCCCAGGTGGCTCGGTGGTAAAGAATTCGAGGGCAATGCAAGAGACATAGGTTCCATTCCTGGCTTGGGAAGGTCCCCTGGAGGAGGGCATGGCAACTCACTCCAGTATTCTTGCCCGGAGAATCCCATTGACAGGGGAGCCTGAGGGGCTAGGGTCCACGTGGTCACAAAGAGCCAGACGCGACTGAGGAACTAAACAACAACAGGAATTTCTAATTTTTCTATTATTTTCACAGGTATGCGACTGTCCCTGATTAAACAGGGATGGCGGTGAAAGGTGAAATTCAGTTATCCTTACTGGACGCATCTTATCGTGTGTGAGATAGCCTCATCCTACCTTAAGTCCTTTGTGGTCAGCTTGACAGAGTTTGCTAACCACCACAGTGCACGTCCCTTACAGCTGGCTCCTGCAGCGCGGGAGGGGCCCACCTACAAGCTGTCAATGGGAAGGGCTGGGAGTTGGGGAGGGCTTTAATGCAGCTGATGGATAAAGGCGTTATTTAACACTTCCTGAGCTTCCTATCTCCTCTGCGCAGCCGGGCCCACCCCGCTCCCTGCAGTGCCTGGATCGGACGCTCACCACCCAGGGCCAGCAATGAAGGAAAGCGCAGTACCGAAGGCGTGCCCGCAGTCCTGGCCCTGCGGCGTCGCGTACTCCAGGCAGCCGGCTCTCTCCTCCAGGGCCGGGCAGGGCGCGCCGCCGTTCTGAGGCTCCTGCTGCACCGCGCGCCTCCGCACGCGCGCCGTGGGCCGACACTGGCCCGCACAACCGCTCCAGGGGCTCCACTCCCCAACGATGCACGGGCGAGCTGAAAAACAGCACCACGGGGACGCACACCTGAGCACAGCCAGCGCCGGCCAGGCCGTTCCCGCCAAGACACAGTCAAGTTCAGGCTGTGCCCACACCGTGCCGGGACCCGGCGGTGGATCAGGAGGAATGCACAACGTTGACACTGACGCCACCCGCCCCGATGGTGAACTGATAAATGGGTATCCCTTAGAGCCGGGCGGATGTTCCCGGATCATGAAGGTGGGTCCGAGCCAGGACCCACCCGAGTAAGAGACTGATGCCTTCAGGGTACTTCCTCTTACAGTCTGGTGTTAGATCAGCTCTTTGCCCTTGTTTTCGTTTGATTGTAACTTTATCCTCCTCTGTCCAGAATATTTTTAGGGCAACAGTAATACACACTCATTGGTGGAGGACAGAGAAGTCTGGCGCCCTGCAGTCCATGGGGTCGCAAAGAGTTGGACACAACCTAGCGACTAAACAACAACAGTAATACACATTCATTGTTAGAAAACATAAAGGAAATAAATTCTAAAAAAGAAAAGGTGGGACTTCCCTGGGGGTCTGGTGGTTAAGAATCTGCCTGTCAATGGGGGGGTCACAGATTCCATCCCTGGTCTGGGAAAATTCCACACACTGCAGAGCAGCTAAGCCCTAGCTGGCAACTACTGAAGCCTAGTGGCCCTAGAACCCTGCTCAGTAACAACAGAAGCCATCAGAATGGGAAAACCCCTCACCAGAGAGTAGCCCCTGCTCCCTGAGACTAGAAAAAGCCAATGTGCACCAACAAAGACCCAGTGCAGCCAGAAAAAAACCCCCAAAAACCAGGTGTTTCTCCCACCAATCACTTCTCCCACCATCCCATCACTTACCCAGGTCAATTCTTATCAGGAAATGCGCCTCCTTAAGACATGGCATAGGGCCACACCAATGACCCCTATCAGGTAGGTTTCTCCTGGTGCTGCATTCTTACCTTCCACGACTCAGGGACTCATACACTATACGAGGTGACATTTACAGGTCAGCAACCAGGGCCCACAGAGGGTAAGAATACCCATGGTCGGGCATGAAGGGGCAAAGTCAGGGGATGAATTTGGTTTTCAATTCTCTGCCCATGACTGTAAAAATCAATGTGGTTGCATATTTAACTTTTTCGTTTAAAATCCTAATGAGTTGTTTAAAAGGACTGTACTGAGTTTTCAAATTGAATTACTTGAAGACTTGAAATTGGATATAAGAAAAGAGAAAAACAAAGAAACAGAAGATGTACCCTGAACTGGATGCCAAAATTCCTTTCCCACAAAATGTGACCCACTTTTCCCAATCACCCTCATACATTCAAATTTTCAAAGTCTTCACTAAGAAAACACCCAAACTTCTTTGAAATCTGATGGGACTTCTGACAATTTGTACTTGAAAAATGCATTTTGCCTCTCAGCACACTCTAGTTTAGGGTTCGTGGTGTCTGGAAGCTACATCATTTGGTAGCACTATCCATGACATGCACAGGGTCACATACAACATAAAGTTCGATCAGTAACTCAAGAGTGTCAAACTGCTCTAAAACCGCTTTTATTAATCATCCAAAAACTTATAAGTAGGGCTTCCCTGGTGGTCCAGTGGTTAAGACTGTGCTTCCACTGCAGGGGCTCCAGATTTGATCCTTGGTCAGGGAACTAAGATCATATATGCCTCACAATGTAGCAAATAAATAAATAAAATAAAATCCTGTGAACCTAAAAACAAAACAGAGAAAAAAACTTATAGGTATCACATGTCAACAACCTAAGGAAGCAAGAATGAGCCGCACCAGAGTTCATTTCCAATATCTGCCATGCATACATCCTTTGGAAAATCAATAACAGGTCACTTCCTGCTCATTATCTCTTGTTAACCTTCCCTTTTTATTTTCACAGCCCTGTGATTCAATTGGCCCATAGAACCAGAAGGCATTTAAGGAGATTGCAGGTTAGGAGCTGGTTGAGAAGGACACCTCCTGTCCTTAATTCCTTTAATAACTCTTTTTCTTCCCCAAATCTCTTCATCCCTAAGTTTAGTTAGTCCTATATTTGAACTACACTTCACAATACACTTTAAAAATATACATTTGTTTCAAAGATTAAACACTTGGAGGCACTATAAAATACAATTTTGCCATGGCTTTAACCCAAAACTTAGTTATATGGCCTTGGTTATACCCTATCCATCACCTACTCAATGGACATGAGTTTGAGCAAAGGTCTGGGAGATGGTGAAAGACAGGGAAGCCTGGTGTACTTCAGTCCATGGGGTCACAGAGTTGGACACTATTGTTCGGCTGAACAACAACAGTACGTTATCCATAGGGTAACAGTTGACATGGGAGGATGAATGTAGTCTCCCAGTATTTCTTCAACATTTATGTCTTGTCTCATAAATCTTTATTTATTTTATTTGGTTTGAATCATAAAGTCCTCAAATCACAGAGTCATTGAATCCATTGTTGTTCCTGTTGGTTAATATTTGTCCTTGGCAAAATGCTATGCCCTTTCTTCCTAATCTATGACTTTGTATGTATGTGCTAAGTAGCTTCCGTCATGTCCAACTCTGTGACCCTACTGCCAGGGTCCTCTGTCCATGGGATTCTCCAGGCAGGAATACTGGAGTGGGTTGCCATGCCCTCCTCCAAGGGATCTTCCCAACCCAGGGATTGGACCCACATTTCTTAAGTCTCTTGCATTGGCAGGCAGGGTTCTTTACCACTAGCGCTACCTGAGAAGCCCAATCTATGATTTTAGCAGCCTCATAAAGAGAATCAGAAAGTTCTGGGCCCCAAACAAGAACATCTTGGGGTCTTCGTTGTCAGACCAAGTGAAAAAAGTTCATGTAGAGTTTCACCAATAGACAGGTGTTCCACAAAATATTTTGAGTTGGAAGATGAGTCTGAAGTATTTACTCCTGTTCTGCACAAAAGATTCTCATCTTGATTAACTTGTGAACTTTTGATTCTTTGGATTGCAATTTGTCACAGATCACAAGCAATCTTTGGTCACGGGGTTTGGGAGAACAGAAACTTCTGACAGATTTATTACCACAAGTCATATATCTCAGCTGCTTGACACAGATTTCCTTCTGAACTCTTCCATTAGTGTTCTTGTTCCCTTCCCACTAAAGCTCGCCTAACTCACATCTGTATACAGCATAACAAAACAGTCTTTCTTCATATGACTTTCTCATCCTTCACATTTCACTGGCTGTTACTGGGGGCCGGCAGACTCTCACCTAGCCAGCAGAAAGAGCTCCTGACTCCAAGCTCACTGCAGCTTCCTCAGGTCTTTGTTTGATTTTAATGGAACCATCCTACCCTTTTTAGAGGAAAGAAACCTAGATTTAATGGGTGCCTAGAAGCACTGCAAGCCTTTTTCTTCTCCTTTGTTTCAACTCCACATAACATTCAGGCTGAGTTTCCCCAGAAGTGGACCCTGAGACATGGATCTGACTGAGAGCAATTTATTTGGGAGGTGATCCCAGGAAGTATAAGGGAATGGGAAACGGAGACAGAATCAGACATGGAAGAGAACAGAGGTAGGAAGCGGATGTCTAAGCTTCTACTTTGGGTGCAGTGAACGCCTCTGGCTCTGGGCTCACTGGGGAGTGGCAGTGAACAGATCTGGACTGCAAGCAACCGTCAAGCCTTTCCCCATGTGCCAGCTCATGTCCCTTCCTCTGGAGCCTTCTGGTTATCAGACATCCCCACCACAGCCACAGGGAGAACGGCCAAGAGCAGAAAAGTAAGTTAAACAGTTCAATAATGAATCTTCACACAAGAGTGGCGGATATTTCCCCATGTTCTAAGGGGAACAGACAGTCATATCGAAGTAAAATTGGGCTTCCTGCGTGGCTCAGTGGTAAAGAATCTGCCTGCCAATCCAGGAGACTCAAGAGATGTGGGTTTGATCCCTGGATCAGAAAGATTCCCTGGAGAAGGAAATGGGAACCTACTCCAGTATTCTTGCCTGGAAAATCCCATGGACAAAAGAGCCAGGCGGGCTACAGTCCATGGGGTCGCAAAGAGTCAGATACCACCAAGTGACTGAACACAAGTAGGATCCAAGTGAAATTATTTTAAAAGATGTACCACTATTCTCTCTCTCCCTCTTAATGGCTTTTAAAACTCCTTCCAAGGTTTTGCCATTGAATTTGGAATAGAATTCAAACTCCCTGAGTGGCCCACCACGTCCTGGGGGACCTGTCCCTCCCACTGGGAGCCAGCCCCCACTCCCCACCACCCCTTTCCAAGCTCCACCCACAGTGGCCCCTCTGCCCCTGGCCACACCCACTCGTGCTTTTTCAGGACCTTTGGCTGTGCGTTCCCTCTGCTGGAATGTTCCTCCCACACTGGGCATGGCTGGGTTTGGCTCATCTTTGAGGTCCCAGCTGAACTATTTCCTTTCCAGGGAGACCTTCCCTGACCGGCTTATCACACACACACATACACACACCCCACAAAATTATTTCCTCTCAGAGCTCAGTGCTTCCTGCCTTCTAGCATCTCCATAATTCAGAATACCAACCAAATGAAGTCGCTCAGTTGTGTCCAACTCTTTGCAACCTCATAGACTGTAGCTTGCCAGGCTCCTCAGTCCATGGGATTTTTCCAGGCAAGAATACTGGAGAGGGTTGCCATTCCCTTATGCAGGGGATCTTCCCAAACCCAGGGATTGAACCTAGGTCTCCCGCACTACAGGCAGACTATTTACCTTCTGAGCCACCAGGGAAGCCCATAATTCAGAATACATATGTATTTATTTTGTTTATTGTTCATTTTGTATTTCATCCCTAGCACTTGGCAGATGGCAGGTGCTCCATAAATTGTGGAATGGATGAATGAAATGGCATTAGACCAGGTCCTCCTCCTTCCTAAATTAAATTCTACATTGAAACAGACTCTGGCTTGCTCACATCATAAGTTAAAATTCGTTTGGGTTTTTCTGTAGTGAACTTTTTGCCCAACCCAATAAGAAGCCAAAGGACTGGCAGAGG